ATAGGAGGCCATACAAGACTGAAGTTTATTTTGGCTTTTTGTCCATTTTGTGAGCAGGGGGAAGACAGCAGATGACAGGTCTTGCTATTACACCTAGTTTTACAGTCGAAGAAATTGAGGCAAACAGAGGTTGTGACTTGTCCCAGGTCATGCAGCTAATAAGCTTCTGAAGTGGGATTTGAGCTCAGCTCTTTCTGATCCCAGGTCCAGCACTCTATCCATTGCACTTCCACCTGCCTATAATGAAGAGAATTAGATTTGGATCTGCCACTGACACTTATTACCTCTAGGGCTTTAGGCAAGTTCTTTAACCTTCTGGGTCACTTTCTTTGAAAGGACTGGATAAGAGTGTCTGAGATTCCTTCCAGCTCTAAATGATTTTTTTCTAGTTCAGTAGAATTTACTAGATAGTATTCTACACTGGCATAGCCTTAAAGAAACCAGGGTAAACTTCCATGTTACAGTTATGCAGAACGGGACTTTTCTCAGGGAGCTTAATGCAATACTTGTTTAACAAGGCTTTCTTAATAAAATTTGAGATATTTTTAAAAATATGTTGATTACTTGGGATGCATAGTTATAAGATAATTTGATCTGAAATAATAAAAATACTCTATTCATTAACTTGGGTTTTTACTGATAAAATATCTACCTTCAGAACCCATCTCAAAGAAAATTAACGGGGGGGGGTGAGAGAGAGAGACAGAGATAGAGAGACAGAGAGAGACAGCGAGAGAGGCAGGCAAAGAATAGGGACTTTCTAAATGTAATCATTTTAATGAAATAACAGTTTAGCAGGTGTCAGCCTATTTATCATTCAAAGGAGCCCAAAGCACAATGGTAAACATGAGTTGTTATAATATAACCTTCTAAGGTTTACAAAGTACTTTCTTTATAACTACCCTATGAGATAAGTAGCAGAAGTAAACAGATAATAGATGGGCTGATTCACTGCACCATGAGACTAGCAAAGTTTGTACTAGCTGGAATGCAGCATAAAAGATCAGTGAGTTTATTGCTGGCAGGTACATGTGATAAATGGATAATGTGGGCTAGGGGTGGAGGTTGCTGCCTCTTACCACATGACCTAATTCTTTGTCTTTGCCCTTGGCTTACTTTATATGTCCGTCAGGGAGGACTTGGGAAGAACGTCATTGCCTCAGCCCTAGCAAAGCTCCTACAGAGTTCGGGGTGTAAAGAAGCATGATCTCTGAAGTAGGCTTGGGGGATACAGACTCATAATGAAGAAGTGAGGCGGAGTTAAGAAGAATTGTTCTAACCCCAAGTAAGATAAATGTCCAGGAGCAAGGATTTCGGTGTCTACTGTAAGACAAAGGTGATCAAAGTCACAGACAGAATCATAGGCTGGGCCTTCAGTTACCTTTTGTTGGTTGTCTGGCTAGATATGTTGGTTCAAAGCCCTTGACTAATGAACTAAAAGAACATAAATCTGCCCTCATCAGAGAATGACTTTTTAGATACTGCACTCTAGTATACAGTAGCAGAGATAATTTTGGTAGCCATGGGACTGACAGGGATGTCCAAGAAAGGTAACATGCTGGAACATGAAGATGTAATACCTAGCAGAGTTACATATAACATGATGAAACTATAGGATATCAATATCCTTTTATATTGGACATCTGAAATGCTCCAACCAAACATGTCCCAAGTGTCTGTTCTCCATGGGTGTGTCCAGGTCATGTGAGCTCCTGGAATGTTTCCCTTCATTCATATTCCCTGGCCACAAATATTTCCTCTGAGGATGCCCTCCATGCTTGTTCCCTGGCCAAACATGTCTTTTTCATGTCCTCTTCTTCACAGCAGCCAGGTGGCCCAGTTGATAAAGCACCAGGCCTGGAGTTGTGAAGATCTGGGTTTAATTCTGGCCTCAGACATTCACTCGCTGTGTGACCCCAGGCAAGTCATTTAACCTCTGTTTTCTTCAGTTTCTGTATCTTGAAAATGGGGATAATAATAGCACTATCTCCCAGAGCTGTTGTGAGGATCAAGTAAAATAATAATTGTAAAGCACTTAGCACAGTGCCTGGCAGTAATAAGTGCTATATACATGTTAGCTATAATCATCATCATCATCATTAATTATTAATGTGTTTCTTTACCTTAATTATATAGTAATCTATAAGGAATGTACCTGATGTGTGTAAAATGAGGTTTCACCAAGTAGTGTCCAAAAAGACATAATCTTTGCAAAATATATCAACCATTAAATAGATAGAGAAAGGACTTCTCAGTCAACAACAATCGGTATCTTCAATATAGTACAAGGGTTAAAGTTCTGAACTTTAAGATAAGAAAGATGTGAATTCTAGTCCTGCCCCTGGTATTTACTAGGAGTATGAGTCATTTAAATTCTCTAAGCCTCAGACAACTCCTTGAGACTTACCTACTAAAAGCTACAGGTAGGCTGCAATTTGGGTCAGTACTCCACCAATGAAATTACAGATCTTTGGCATATTGGTGTATATATAAATCAGCAAGGCAGTTTTAGCATGAGTTATCCACTAAAACATACAGAACCGGATATTAATTATAATAGTATCATCCTATGATCCTTTCAGTAAGAATGAACCAGTGGACAGAGTGTTGGACTTGGAGTCCATGTGTTTCCTCCAATCATAAAAGATATCCAGAACAGAATCCAAAACAAAGAGCCTATATAGCCTATATTTATAGCCTATAAAAAGTGAGAAATTTTAGATGCTCCTGATTGTAGTGGACACTGATATGACTTCGCCAACCATGGATCTTCCTCAGAGAGTCCTATTGTCACACCAAAAAATTCTGTCTAACTCTCCTCACAGGAAAAACCAAATGGACAAAGAGTGTTTCTTGTCCATACCATGATAACCTGTAAAACTGATCCACCAGGACAGACAATTGAAAATATCTTTCAGAAAGACAATAAGCTAGTCCCAGGACTGGACAGAAAGAAGACAGAGGGTGAAACTGATTTTGAAAACTACAGAATTCTTTCAATAGCCCTAGTTTCTCCCTGAAAAAAAAATTAACACCTGAAGTTAGGTTTTATAGTTAATGTTTTCTTCTGATGATGTTATTTGGGAGTGAAACAGGAACCAATTTACCCAGTTCCTGAGGTATTAAAGTTGCAGGTTGCAAAGGGCACTGGAAAGCTACATGGCACCCATAATTAGGCCAAAGCATAATACCAAGAAAAAAAAATGGGTAGAAGATGTTATGTAAATGATTACTATCAGAAAATTGTACAACTATGAAAATGGGTCAGTCATGTAGAGAGAGGGAAGGATGACCTTAGAGATAGCTCACATGCTCCATTGGCATGCACATAATGTCAAAATATCTAGAAGAGGACCAGAGAAATCTCAATCAGTCCATATCATTGATGGAAAGTATTTGGTTGTCAGTCAGTCAATATGCCTACTATGTACCAATCAGTACAACACATGTACCAGGCATGTGTTGGATACAAAGAGAGAAAAGAAATGTTTCTGGCCTCAATAAACTTACTTTTTATCAAGTGCAACAACATGTACATATATATGTACATACATATTATGTAGATATATAATATAAAGTTTTGTGGGGGGATGGGTGAATTACTAGCATCTGGGAAGATCAGGAAATGCTTCATGTAGAAGGTGGTGCACGAGGTAAACTTTGAAAGGAACTAGGGATTAGAAGAGACATTGATCAGGAAGGAGTACATATCAATGATGGGTTCAGACTGTGCAATGGCAGAGAGATGTTAAATGGAGTATTGTATGGGGGCAAAAACAAGAAGACCCCTGAGGCAACTGAGTTCATTGAGCAGGGAAATGACAAGGTTACACCAATATATAGGGAAAAAAAGACTTGAAAGGGAGACCAATTAGGAGGCTATTACAATTTTCTAGGTGAGACATGATGAGGAGCTGAATGAACTAGGGGGGTAGCTGTGTGAGAAGAAAATAGATGATAGGAAAATTAATTCTACTTTATAAAAATCTATTTTCAGTTCTTAATTCTCTCCCTCTCCCATTCCTCCCCCATCCATTGAGAAGGCAAGAAATATGATACCCTTTATACATATGGCAGTAGGTGGTGCAGTGATTGAATGTTGGCCTGAAGTCAGGAAGACTCATCTTCCTAAATTCAAATCTGGCCTCAGGCATTTACTAGCTGCGTGACTCTGGGCAAGTTATTTAACCCTATTTGCCTCAGTTTCCTCATCTTCAAAATGAGCTGGAGAAGGAAATGACAAACCACTCTAGTATCTTTACCAAGAAAACCCCAAAAGGGGTCATGAAGAGTCAGACATGACTGAAAAAATGACTAAACAAATACATATGAAGTCATGAAAAACATATTTCCACATCAGCCATCTTGCAAAAGAAAAAAAAAAGCAAGAATAGGTTAAAGAAAATATGCTTCAATCTGTACTCAGGGTTTATCAGTCTTCTCTCTGGAGGTAGATCGCATTTTTCATCCTGAGTCCTTTGGAATTGTCTTGGACCATTGTACAAAACAGATTTAAAGAAGGACATGAACAAAGTTGTATAAGAGGATATGGTATGGATGGATTGTGAACTACACAACTGGAAGGAAACCAGAGTTACAACAAGATGCTGAAATAGTCTACTGCCTGCTGATTGGAAACTGCCTAAACAGATACAAGAGCTTTGGCCCAGGCAAAACAAACTCCCTCTCCTAGCCATGTATGGCGATGGGAAGGAGCACAATCTGAACTATGGAAAGCGATATTTCATCTACTTCAGGAAACAAAAGTACAATGAAATTAAAGTCTTTGAAAAAGAAAACACAATGATATATTTTCTTCTACTCCATTCTTCAGTATCCTGAAAATAGTATCCTTTTCCTGTCCCAAAGCATATCCATATGTAGATCATAGGTAGAGATGGAAAGTGATACTGAAACAAGTTACTTTCCAAAGGATATATATAACTTGAAGGTCGACAGGTAAACACACAATGATCAGAATAAAATCATTCAGAAGTTACCTTTTTGGTACATTTTTTTACAGTATTGATTAACTCCTGCATCACCAGGTCTACACTCTTCAGGGAAGGTCCTTTTAGTTTTACAATTTGTTTTTTAACTATTGCTTCAAAAGCCATATCTGGAGTAAATAATCCTGTCCTGTAAATAGAGAAAACAGTATATCAGATAATATTTTTAATACTAAGCTTCAAGCCAGGTAAAGCATTTATGGTAATAAAAACCAAAGCATTTATGTTTATTTTATCTATGATAATAAAAAAAATACAAAGCAATTTTCGAGGCACCTAATGATTTGTAACATCCATAGTGTTGTTACTAATAATGTCATTAGTCCTTATAGTTCATGTTGGATATCAATCTTTCCAATAATATGTACAAAGTCAGAAAAGAATACTACTGCTTAATAGTATCATTGAAAAGTAGATTTTCAGAAAAGGAAAATGACAATTGCTGGAGAGAATGTGGGAAAATAGGGATGCGAATTCACTATTGGGGGAGTTGTAAATAGGTTCAACCATGCTAGAGAACAATTTGGAACTATGCCCACAGGGCTATAAAACTGTATACCCTTTGATCCTGCAATATCACTATTAGGTCTATATCCCAAAGAGATCCAAAAAAAAAAAAAAGGAAAGGGGAGGGGGAGACCTATTTGTACAAAACTATTTACAGCAGCATTTTTTTGTGGTGGCAAAGAATGAAAAATTGAGGGAATGGCTGAACAAGTTGTGATATATGATTGTGATTGTAAAAAAATGACAAAGTAGATGACTTCAGGAAAACCTGGGAAGACTGATGTGAGCTGATACAAAGTGAAATGAGCAGAACTAGGAGAATATTGCATACAGTGGCATCAATGTGGTAATGACAATCAACTGTGAAAGACTTAGCTAATCCCTATAATACAATGATCCAAGACAACTCCAAAGAGCTTAGAATTCAATAATAATAAATGAGAGGCAGTAAGAAGTTGGAACAGGAGTAGGAAGCACAAGTCTCAATAAGAGTTCTACCACCACCTAGTTATGCATAGATAACTACAACTTGGGTAAACATCCTTTGTGATCCTCAATTCTTTATATATAAAATGAGTAGATTGAATTAGATTGTCTCTAAGGTCCCTTCCATCTCAAAAATTTAATTGTTCTGAGTTTCTCTCTCTCACTGTATTTCCCAAAAGCAACTAAGAAAATATGAATTTGCTAAAATTCCAAGAACAATAGCCTAAGTTTAAATGCCTGGCTCTAATTTTAATTTTTACAAAGAGTCCCATGCCACTGTTCTGTGTTGCTAAAAACAAGACCACCAGGAGAGTACCTAAGCCCCATTTTTCTTGCCTCAGATGCAAGAGACACTTTGCCAATATATTAATTTTCTCGTCAGCAGCCTTGAACCAGTCAGTCAGCCAACAATCATTTATTAAGCACTTGGTATGTGCCAGGCAGTATGATAAGTACTGGAGGTTAAAAAAAAAAGGCAGCAATAGTCCCTTTCCTCAAGGAACTCACATTCTAATTAGGGAGATAAATTGGCAACAACAAAGTACACAAAAGATGTGTACAGGGTAAACTGGAGGTAATCTCAGAGAGAACACGCTGGCATTAAGAGGAGCCAAAGAAAGCTTCTTGTAGAAGATGGGATTTTAGTAATTAAACTAGATTGTTGTCCAAAGGACTGTTAGTCAACAGGTAAAGCTTCCATGAAGACTCAAGCTCTCTCATCTACAATTTAGACATGCAAAAAGAAAGAGGTTTCCCCCTCAAAAAAAAAAACTTAAATATGTTTAAGGCCTTAAATTCTGGCTTTGGATATGGTCTGTACACAGATATTATACAAGAGAACTAACATCCTAAAATATTAACCCAAATGATTAACTATATTCATGGTCCATGTCCTGGGTCATGACAAAATGGAATACAGGTGTGTCCATATTTGTCAATGAACAAGGCAGGAGATGTAGAGTTGGGAGCCTTAGTTTGTATACTACCTTGACACATATTACCTGTGTGATAAAGGACAAATCACTAACCTCTCAGTGCCTTAGTTTCCTGGTCTGTAAAACAGAAATAAGAATACCTGCACTGCTGTTGTGAGCCTTAAAAGAGTCACATTTAAGTAAGACATGTCAAAACACGAGCATCCAAACTCGTTGCCACTGGGTATTTTTAAATCATCAGTGCATTTACCATATGATAGTTTACTAATTCAATTTAAAAGTTAAACTTAATGTTATTTTTTAAAAAACACATAAAGCAAGATACTTTTGTACTTGTATAACTAACAACTAATCTCAGAAGCGATTCAAGGCTTAATTTTTAAAAAAAAATCAAAAGGAATCTTGATGCCAAGAGAGGGGCCTCAGCAGAAAGTCAAACTGAGACAAGATGATTGATCACTCATTTGACAAGCATGTATTTAGTCCTTTCTAGAGCATCAAAGCACTCCTGCTAGGTCTTTATAGTAAAGAATAAAAAGCAAATTTTTGTCTGAGAGTTAAAAGATTTGAATTATGTTCACAGTTGTAGCACTGACTGGCTGAATATGCTTTAGAAAACTATTCTTGGGGCAGCTAGGTGACGCAGTGGATAGAGCACCGGCCCTGGAGTCAGGAGGACCTGAGTTCAAATCCGGCCTCAGACACATAACACTTACTAGCTGTGTGACCCTGGGCTTAACTCCATTGCCTAGCCAAAAAAAAAAAAACCAAAAAAACTATTCTCTTCTCTTTCTTCAAAACTCAGCACAGATCCCACTTTCTGCAAGAGGCCTTTCCTAGTCTCCCTTCCCCAAGTGCTACTTGACTTCCCTAGGTTAGTTACCTCCATTTATAATGCCTATAACTATTTTCTTGTGGTCTTCTTTATTTGACTGTGAGCAACTTGAGGACAGGGATCTTGTCTTTTTGTCTTTCTTTTTATCCCCAGTACCGAGCATAATGCCTGGCACATGGTAAGTTCTTAATAAATGCTTATTGACTGAATGACTTACTTTATCCAAATTTGGATATTTCCAAGATGAGTGTATTAGAATCTGGTACCTCAAAAAGTGTGATTATATATGCAACACATACTCAGTCTCAAGTTCCATCTGGAAGAAAACCATTATCTATGGTCAATGCTAATTGAGAGTGGAGGAGATAATATTTTTTAAAGTGTCATTGAAAAAGTATCTCTATTTGATTTTGGAATATAGTCAAACACATATGCTTAGCCATATATGTATATATAAAATGATTGCAAATTAATCCCTTTTAATTCCTATCCCTAACCTCTTCCCAATCTAACCCTGAGATCAAAAGTTGAGACTGAATAAGAGAGAGGCAACGAGATCCCAGATCATCTGAAAATAACTAACAAAATTGAAAACAGAACTTAATGCATGTTAATTCATAGCATAAGATGGATACAGTGTGATCTACTTTGTTGAAAGACTACCCACATTGATGAAATTAGAGATCTAATGAAGTAATACAATTGCTTTTCATCACACTCCTATGCAAAAAAAAAGTAACTTAAAATCAGTCTTTTTTTATAAATAAGGGCAATCGGTTGCAAGAAAATAAAAACATTATGTAAATCACGAAGAGGATCATGACATAAACTAGAACTAGGATTTCCTATTAAGGACTCCTGCCTCTATGCACCCGTAGCACATCAAAAAAATATGTTCACCTTTTTTTGGCAACAATAACTGAATACAAGGAAATCCATGTATCACTCACCTGATACCATGAATGTTTTTGATTGCATAGCTTATTTCTCTTCTCAGTTCTTTCTCATTAAATTCCATCTAGGAAAACAAAGTGAGGCATCAATATATTCTGCTCAATTCCTTTTGAATAATAATACCATCCAATTAAAGAACAAGCATGACTTAAATGCGTTGTTGAGGAATGAATATCCATGTTTCTTGTCATCTAAAACCAGAAGTTCATAACTTTTATTTACATGAAGGTGAAGGATAAGGGTTTGGGGTGTTTTGGGTGGCTATAAAAGACTATTGATAACTATTACAGATAAGGATAGAGTTAGCTTGGGATATAAGCATTACTTAGACTTGGCATCAAATACTGCCACTGACATTTACTAGCTATGCCACCCTGAACAAATCACTTAACCTGTAGGCGACTACCTAGGTTCTCATCTACTGACTCATAGATGAATTAAAATGTACATTAGCAGAATGAATTTCAATACAAGGAGTTCCTTACACTAAAGAAACCACAAGTTCTTTTCTTACTAACATACAAATAAGAAAGGTTATTTTAAAAGATCTTGCCCATCTTTTATCATGTCCTCTGACATTTAGAGATACTGTTGCTTATTGTATTTACTCAAAACATTAATTTGAAGAAACCATATTATAACCAAGGGGTATCACCTACCATGCATTTTCAGTATGTCATCTGTTCTTGTATTAACAATGACTATCACGTCTTGGTAGCCATTATAAGTGCCTGTGAAGATGGCACAGATAAATGAAATATTTGAAGTTTCTTCATAAAAGAGGTCTAGATCATTTCTAAGGCCCTCCTAGCTCTAAAAATCTTTATAGCAGGTTACTATAACAAATTCTCTCAGAGTTTCTCTCAGAGTTGCATTATTTTTATTTGACACTGAGGTTAAAATCAACTGGAATTTTCTAAATTATATACTTACAGGAATTAGAACTTGAAGGAATCTCTCAAGCTCATGTGATCTAACCTTCTGCTTTCAAGCAAGCAAGATATAATTGTTCTCACTTGACAGATGAGGTAACTGAGGCCCAAGGGCATTATAAAGCATCATGGTACAGTGGAAAGAACATTGGATTTGGAAAGAAAGCATCTATGTTTGAATAAAGGACTTAAGTTTGACATGGATGCAAACTCCCTGCGTGACCTCGAGCAAATCACAGAACTTCCGTGGGCCAAAGTATCCTCACCAGCACAATAATGCGGTTAGACTCAATGACACTGAAGGTCCCTCCTAACTCTAAATTTGATTCTGTTATTTACCTCAAAGTCAAATAAACATTAAATAAGTAAGTGGAAGAGTTTATATTTAAATTGAAGTCTTCTGCCTCTTGCTAGAGGTATTTCTACCTCTAGGATTACATGAATTTGTATTTCCTCAATTATAAGAGCTGGTGATTGAGCATAGAACAGAGAGAGAACTGGCCTTAGAGTTAGGAAGATCTGGGTTCAAATTCAGCTTCTTAACATGTATTAGCTGAATACCAATGGGCAAATCATTTAATGTCCCTGAGACTGATTTTTCCCATGTGCAAAACAGTGATTAAAAATACGTCTAATGCGCACCCCACTGGATTGTTGTAAGGCCTAAATGAAATTGACATATTTAAATTATTTTTTTTTTGGTGAGGCGATTGGGGTTAAGTGACTTGCCCAGAGTCACACAGCTAGCAAGTGTTATGTGTCTGAAGCCAAATTTGAACGTAGGGCCTCCTGACTCTAGGGCTGGTGCTCTATCCACTGTGCCATGTACTGCCCCTAAATTATATATTGGCATTCTCAAAGTTACATGTTTAGTTTAGATACTGAAAGGAAAGCAAATGTATAAGCTATAATTTTAAAACCCAAATGAAAACTTAGCTACTTTCCTTTACTAACTTGTTGGGAAGAAGGTGCTTAATAAACATTTGTTGAATTGAAACCCAAAGATAATCTTTTATTCTTCTAACTTTAAAAAGCTGATAAAAATGTTCAATGGAAAGATTAAGACTTAAATAATAAGAGCCAAACTGCAAATGGAAATATAAAGTTTTCTGAGAAGCATTAGATAGTGGCTGAAGTTAATATTGTGGGTGCTTACTACTGTAACCCAGAATTTTGCATGGCTAATGATCCCATTTTTATTTAAAGCATTAAAGTTCTTTTTTATATAAAAAGGGAAAGAAAAGAAAAATGTGTAGCAGTCTGCCCCAGACCAGCTAAGAGTTTTGATCTTTCGAAAAATAAACCAGTAACACTTAAAACAAAGACCAACTCTCACACAATACCAAATGTGTAGTGAAACTCTATTAATATAGGTAATAATTACCAAGAGGCAATATTTTTCCTTTTTCTTTTCTGCCACTTAATCATGAGTAATAAGGGTCTCATTAGGAAACTCAGTTGCTGCCCTCTTTTGTTTTCAAATAATCCCTTCTCAACAGTGTTTCTGACAGTAGTCAGAGAAAAGCCAGACGAACAAGATATAACTTCTAGCATATACACATACCTTCACAATCTCAAAAGGGAATCGTTCATGGAAAATGAGGTTTATTTTTGCACCACCTGAGAGCTCCAGTGTATCTACTTGATCTCCTGATCCTTCAATTCTCTTTTCAAAATCCACTGAAAACTGCTGAACCATCCTATAATATTAAAGAAAAAAGGCTTAAGTCAAAATTTCTAAGTTGAAGAGTCTTCCTTTTCTGAACTGACTTTTTCTACATTTATTCCTAGATATTATTTTCCTAGTGTATTTAGTGGCACCTACTGGCAAAATTAAGAATGCATGCTTTTCAGCTCTAAGGAAATATAGAACTATACAGTTTATATAGCAAACACAATTTAAAGTGGCATAAATACTTAAAATTCCTACTTATCATTAAATGAATTCTGTCCATTTGATTAGAACTGTTCAGAGTATTTAATATTTCCATTTTCATAATAGTAAGCAGATCGCCTATGAAAGTATTTGGTTTCTCTTGATGAATTCAATCACTTGGCTCAGATGAATTTCATCTTGAAAGTTCTGGCAGAAATGGCAGATGTTAACTGCTGACCCACTGTTAATGATATTTGAATGATCATGGAAATGATAGAGATAACACAAGGTGAGAGAAAAATAAAGATTGTCCTGATTTTCAACCAAAAAAAAAAAAAGGAAGGGGAAGGGGACAGAGACTGAAAACTATGAGCCAGTGAAATTGACTTTGATTGCTGAGAATATTCTAGAATACATCATTACAGAGATTGTTGTTGAAAATCTGGAAAGAGAATCAGCAATTAACAAAGATCAACTTGGCTTCATCATGAATAGGTCATGGCAGACTAAGCTTACTTCCTTTTTTCCTATAAGATTAGGTTAGTAGAGAAGAGAGTGGAGCCTAGGATAAAATCTTAGGAAATAACCACAGTTAGGGGGTATTAAATAAATGATGAATCAATAAAGGAGACTGAGGAAGGTTAGACCTTCATATATTATCCCCCAAGACCCACCGCTCTTCTGAACTTCCTATGATTGTTGAGGACACATGCCCATAACTCTCAGACAGCCAAGTTCACAAGCTCACTGTCATCCTTGATTCCTCACTGTTACTCACCCCACAAATCCAATCAGTTGCCAAATCACATATAGTTTTTCTATACAATGTTTCTCATACGCATCCCTTCTCTCAACTCGCACAGCACCCCTCATCACCTTTCACCTAGATTGTAGTAACAGCCTCCTACTCACACACAGCTTCCAGTGCTTCTATCTAAAGCATAGATTCTGTCACCTCTCTATTCAATAAACTCAAATAAAGGCAATGCCTCCATATTGTTTCTGGGAATGATTATACATTTCTCCATTTGGCATTTGAAGCTCTTCACAATCCTAACCTTCTTACCTATTGCTCTCTCAAGGCATGCCATAGTCCAGCCAAACTGGCCAACTTTCCATTCCTCACATAGGACTCCATCTTCTACCTCTGTGCTTTTGTGATGGTTGTCCCCCTGCTGGGAATGCACACCCTTAACCTTCACTTATTAGAATACCTGGCTTCCTTTAAAACTCAGCTCAAATTCCTCTTTGAAAAAAGGCAAAGACTTGGTTTTCCCTTTCCCTAGTGATTAGAGCCTTAACATCCAACGTAACTGTCCATCTACTCAATATGTATCCTGTCCATACCTCTTTATGTACATGTTGTCTCCCTCATTAGAATGTGAACTCCTTGAGGGCAGGGACTGTTTTTCTTTTGCTTTGTATCCCCAGGGCTTACCATAGTACCTAACGAAGTGAATCTGTAATAAAATATTTGTGGGGGATTGATTGATGACACAAATCTAGCAGAGACAGCTAACACTATATGACAGTCAGATTCCAATTCTAATATAGAGACCTAATTTTATTTCCTTGTTTACTAGAAATTATAATTATAAAATGCTAAAACCTCTTTCAAATGTATTTTAAATTTAAAAAACAGCACACTTTAATTCATTTTTAAGTTTTGATTCTACCTTAATATCTCTCCTATTCCTCCCAACTCTCCACTTACATAGCTACTACCATCAGGCCCTCATTACCTTTTATCTAGATTGTTGCAACAGTGTCTGAGTTGGTCACTCAGCCTGATTATCTCGCCATTCTAATCCATCTTCCCCTCTCTTATTCCACAACTGCCAAAGTAATTGTCCTAAAACACAGTTATATAATATTGACACTCTCCACACAATGCACACTTATTAACTCCAGTAGATCCCTATTGTTTCTAGGGGAAAAAATATGAGCTCTGTTTGGTATTTAAAGCCTATATCAATCTTGCTCCAATCTAGTTTTTAATAGATTTATCACAACTTAGCCTCCTCCATGTATTTTACATTCATACTATACTTACCTAGTCACTGCTCTCCATACTCAACATCCCTTCTCCATGCTTTTATATTGGCTGAAGCTATGACTGAAAAGCAGTCCCTCCTCAGCTCCAATTGTTAAACCTCCAGTTCACATCAAAACTAATTAAAAAAGCCAACTCCTATATAAGATCTTTCCTAATCCTCCGGCTACAAGTGACCTCAAAATCATTTTGCATTTACTTTGTATCTGTATGAGTGTATATATGTACATACATACATATATACACATAGAGACACAGACACATACACATGTATGCGTCTATATAGATATATATATCCATGTGTCTATAGATATCACATTTACTAATATATGTCTATACTATTTCCCCTGAGAGATATAAGCTCCCTGAGAGCAGAGAACAGGGACAATATCACTTTTGTCCTTTTATTCCCAGTGTCTCCCCTAGTGTGTAATTTTGTACTTAATTTATATTCTCATGCAACAGCACTCCTACTTACAGAGCTCAAAGACAAAAACAAAAACAAGATAGCATAACTAGTACTACACCTGTTAATTAATTGAATGAAATGATCCAAATTACAACATAAAATGGAGAAACAAAATAGTTAAGAATATTATCACATACTGAGAGTAAATATCTAAACATCTAAAGATTCGGAAGTTCCAAGAGACTCACTTCTATACTAACAAATGACAGTAACAGACAGAAGCCAAAAATCAAACTGAAAGGATGTTTAGGAACAGGACAGTGACAACTCACTGTAGCAGAGCCTTTGTCTTTCTTGTAGGATCTTCTGGCTTGAAGTTTTTGTAGGCTTCTACTTCATGTTCTATGGAGAGTAATTGTCCCTGGAGCTTGCTCCTGAAGCTTGGCAAGGTATCTCGAATATGGTTAGTGAGTTGCTAAAAAAAAAAAACCATAATGATAATGGATAGACTAAAATTATATATTAAGGTAAAAAAAGAATGATGTGTGCTGTTTTCATGATCATTTAAACTTTGAGAACATCAAATACACCTTGTTACATACAGATAGAAGGGGACATAATAATCGGGGCACACTTGGTTGATTTGGTTCCTTTTGGGCTGCTTTGGGTTCTCAGACTCTAAGAAAATGCTATGACTTCATGATAGAGTCTTGCATTGTGCATTTTCTGTAGTGGTAAAATTCAATCATGCTGGATCCCTCTTCATCCCATGCCTGCTATTAATCAGTCAGGTATTTATTAAGTACCTACTACATGCCAGGTAGCCGGTGGTACAGTGGATAAAGCTCTGGGCCTGTAGTCAGGTAAGACCTGAGTTCAAATCCAGCCTCAGACACTAATGAACTATATGATCCTGGACAAGTCACTTAATTTCTATTTGCCTCAATTTCTTCATCTGTAAAGTGACAATAATAATAATAATAGTATCTACTTCCTAGGGGTTTTGTGAGAATCAAATGATATAATAAATGTAAAGCACTTGTTATATAGAAAGCATTATATAATATTATCATTATCATAATATCTTTTTTTGTATGTAGTTGCTGGCCTGTTTTCTTTCCCCATTAGACTATGTGTCCTATTAGAGCTGGAACTGCTTTTTGTCTTTCTATCCCCAGTGCCTACTTAACACAATGCCTGCTACATAGTAGGTGTTTAATGATGGAGTTAATAACTTAATCAGCACATGCCCTTTGTCTCAGAAATAGTTTTATGCAGTCAAAATTATTTTTTAAAAAAGAGGTAAGAGACCCATATGTACACAAAACATATTTAGAGTAGCACATTTTATTATAGCAAAGAACTAGCAAAAAACGGGGAACCCATCAATTGGAGAATAGTTGAACATAGTATTACGCTATAAATAATAAACAAATGGGACAATTTCAGAGAAATCTGGGAAGACTTTATGAACCGATGCAGAATGAAGTTAAGTAGGACCTGGAGAACAATTTATATAACAACACATTCTAAAGAAAAACATTTTTGAAATATTTAAGAATTCTGATCAACTACAATGACCCATCACAATTTCTGGGGGCTGATAAAAATAATATTTACTTTTAAAATTTCAGCATGTAATTTCTCTAATAACTGAAAGGACGCATACTAAAAACAAATATCTTGATAGTCACCTGATTTAGGACTTTCTGAAGATGCGGAGTTCCCATTCGATCAGCAATGTGTCTGTAGCCTGGGTGGGAAAGAAAAAATTTTCTTTCTGCCAGCAGAGCTGCCTTAATGTCCTTCTTTCCATCAATGTCTTTTTGGCTTCTATTTACCACACCTATATAACCTAAAACAAGCAACAAAATTCACTTTCAGGGTCCAGGATTTAATTAAGCATATCTAACTTGGATAATGATACTTTTGGGGAAGGAGGGGTAATATCACATGAGTGGATCTTTTACTTCAAAGAACTATTAATTTAAAATTGATTCCTAGACTATTAAGTCTTTCTGAAGTTCTGTGATACAACTATGTCCATTTAGCAGTTAAGTAAACTAGAAAAAAAGTCAGTTAAGTGACTTTATTATCATGAATCTGTACTGAATTCATACACCCTCCATTCAAACCTCTTCCCTGTTTTTTCTTTCCTATTCTCTGTTTGGAAATTTAAAGGAATACTTCTCTGTCTGGATCATTTTTAATAAATCATTTGGATCTATTTGTTCAACTGTGATAAAGACCAGACACCAAAAATGACCAAGATAATTCTTAACTTTTTCAACTGAAGAGACTGCATTAAAATCAGTACTACCAATAGCTGCTCAAACCCTTTCTGTTCCTTATATTGTCAGGTGACGATTGAGACACCATGGTATTACCCCTTCGAAGAGGAAGCAATTTGTTCTCTAGAACATCCCTTGCATCAGTTCCTTCATCCATAAGATCTAGTTTGGTGATGACTCCAATAGTTCTCAGACCTGCATGATAAACAAAAAACAACAACAACAAACCCAAGTTATAGGGGAACAAGCATATCGACAAGCAGGAATCTCTCTCTTTAAGCAAGCTTCGGTAAGGCAGACCTTCTAGCAGCTAGTTGAACACGTGCCTCTTCCCACATTCCAGCATGCATGCCTTCATTGCTCCTGGTTCTGCCTGTATAATTTTGGCCCTTCTTTTTTGTCACTCTATCTTTAAGTTCCTCACTTTCATTCTTTCCTCTTTACATTACTGTCACCTTACAGCCTAATGAGAAAGCTTTGAATTTACATGTCAATATTATTTCCCTCACCGGAAAAAAAGGAAAACAAATTCTGTAACATCAAAATACCTTTTCTTTTACTTATGTCAATGTATGCCACATCAGTTTTAGAATGAAAATTCTATAAGGGGAACTGTTGTGTTTTTATATTTCTTCCTGAGATATATCAATTATTAAAATAGTAAATATAAATGTATTATCATTAGACTGAATGAAAAATGATCTATCATTAAAAAATAGATTATGCTTTTCACTGCTCATCAGAGAAGAGATTTATATCATATATTTTTGACATTTTGGGTTTTTTTCATCATGTGGAATGTTTTACCATTTACAAAGCTCCGGGGCACAAGTTCCTCAGAATTTGCCCTATATGTATTAACTCTATTAAACAAAAATTTATTAAGTGCCTATCAGTTATAAGGCATTATTAACAAAAGGAAACAGGAACTTACATTCTAACTGAAGGATACAACATGTATATAGACGAGTAAACAGAAGGCAATTTGAAAAGAGAGGGAGGACTGACAACTTAGTGGGAAGAGGGAGAGATCAAGAGGTGGTATCTGAACTACAAATTGAAGGTTCCAGCTGAAGAATTTGCCACACACACTCCCTGTCTCCTAACCCAGTATAACTAACACATACTTTCAATTTTGTTTCCCACTGCCTCTTTCTCCTTTTCCCCTCCTGGCTAGACACTGACCTCTCTACACTAGACTTATTCCACCTTCTAAATGGTGGTGGCCCAATTGTCTCCATGCTCCAATACCCTTTGAGCCAGACACTCTAATTCACTTTAAGAACTCCTAGGCCAGAGTCTGGTCACACAAACAAGATTAAGGGCTAGACGTTTTTTCTGAGCCCCATAACCTCTCAAACTTCTCCAAAACAGAAATTATGCACCAAAGATAAAGCAACTTCAGTTGTCTCTGCATCTAGGACATTCAAGAGTCAAAAAGAAGGGAAGGTAAAACAAAACAAAACAAAAACCCATGAGTTCCCTGACACCAAGCTCATTCAACACTCCTCCCTAACTTCCCATGCTATAGGCAGCAAGGTTACACTAAAAGTTCTAAAGATCTGACACAGGCTTACACCAAAACTCACCCCCACAGTCCAGTTTCCCTTCCCTCTTTACAGTATTATGGAGGCTCCAGCACCAGGCTGCAGAAGTTTGGCTGGTCAGCAAAAAATAGCCAGTGGCCCCAACCATGTAACACCAGTTCCGCAGAACTATGAACTGCCAGTGCCAAGACAAACAACCCTGTAGTACCGGTGCTGCAACCTGAACTGTTGACCTCAGCCAGATAACTATGGAACAGAGGGAGGGGGACTGTACACTGGACAGGACACCCTGTGGGCAAAGGGGAGGAGGAGAAGGCAATGTTCAGCACTCCAATAAAGCTGAGGGGGAAAAGCATCCTGGTGGGGCCATTTTTGACCAACCAAAAGTCAATCAGGGCAGAGACCTAGGCTGGTGAACAATGTTACACAGTATTAGAGGAGGCTGAGACACTTTGAGATGCCGTCCCCAAAGAAACCACCAGGAGAGGAGACGAGGGTCACAAAGGGAATAGGGGAAAATCAAGAAAAAATGGGGAAAAGACTGAAATTACCAAAGATCTCAGGAAGAAGAAAACTTAAAAACCTCAAACGTAAGCAGAAAAGTCAACAGGGAAAATAATAGCAGAAGGAAATATGACCTCCAAATCTAGTAAATTAGTTCAGGCATCTATGAATGAATATTGCAAAACAAATTAAAATGACCCAACATTTCATGAGATGGAGGACCCTGTGGAATGCAAGGAGAATATGAACCACAACACACTGTTCCTGAGTATTTCAAAAGACAAAAGAGAATTATAAGAGAAGAATTTATGGCCTGCACAGCCAAAAAAAAAAAAAGTGAAGAACAAAGAATTGGAATCTGCAATAACAAGTCTCACCAAAAAAAAATTAAAGAGAAAACAATATTTTGGGAATGGAAATACATAGATGTGAAAGACAGTCTAGAAGAAAAAAACAGTAACATTAAAAGAAAATATGTTCACTATGTATGCAAAACATACAGAGCTCAGTGGGACAGGATACACAGAGACAACCAAAAGATCATAGGTCTCCCAGAAGAACATGAGAGGTCAAAAATCTTTAACAACATAATGAAGTAAATAGTAGATGAGAAGAGCCTAGAACTTCTGAACATAGAAAATGGAATAAAACCAATTAAAAGAATTCACACATCACCTGCAAGAGAAAAAAAAAACCAAAGCTGAAAACTCCAAGACACATAGCTGTTAAATTTAACAATTCAATTCAGAAACTATTCTTCAAGTGATCAGGGAAAAGGCCTCTAAATACAAAAGAAAATGAATTTGAATAATGCTAGACTATTCTTCAAAATCATAACATTATCATAATATCAAAAACATAAAGAGGGCAAAGAGCAATGAAGTTGAAAATTCAGCATAGAGTGACCTACCTTAAAAATCTGAGTTTAACCTTACACAAAAACAGATGTTCAATAACAGAGTCATTTGAAACATTTTTAGGAAAAAAACCCAGAACTGAAAATATTATTTATATCTTGAACACCCCAAAAAAACAGATATGCAAGAGGAATGAATAAAAATGCAGGAGACAAGGACAGCAACAGCAACAGAGTGACAGTACAGAAACCAGCAAGAGACTTTCTTTCAAGCAGAGTTGAAGGTAAAAGTCTGGTGGAGGGAAAAGTGAGCATGGAGCACAAAACCTAGTGATACTCTGACTACCAGTGAATTGATGTGTGTGTGTTGTGATTGTTGTTACTGTTGTTGTTGTTTTGAGGAAACACATTACAACATAGGAGCATACATAAAAGGGGGTAAGGGAACTACAGAGGGATAGGGAAGAATGTGTAATGTCATGGGGTCCAATCAAGGTTTAGCAGTAAGAGGAAGGTTACCCCTGTGGTCTCAGAAAAGAAGAGCCTGCAGGAAAATGGATGAGGAAGAAGGGGAAAGGATTAAAAATGGGGAGTGAAGTAAAGAAGCTTTACTGTGGTGGTGGGAAGCGGTTTCTTTGATGAATGTTCCTATGGGTGAAGAGAGATAGCAGACTATCTCAAGGGTGTTCGGGATGTTGTAATGGGTGTGGCCTTGGGGATTTGGTGCTTGAAAAGTCTACTTTCCCTACAGTGGGAGTTGGGGAGTTTGAACTCTTGGCAGCAACTATCACCTAGGGTAGTGGGAGAGTATAGACCCACAGAGGAGATTTGGAAGCACATGGGCAAAAAAAAAAAAAAGGTAACCAGAGAAGTATATAGATCAGTGATGGGCTGCATAATCAGAGATGTGGTTGGCAGGCCCTACCACCAGTTGTGTCCCCTCTGACACTGGCTAACATTGGCATTGTCCTGGGAGTGAAGTGAAATGGAAAGAGGGAATCCATGGAACAAGCTCTAGAAGGCAGCAACAAAAACCTACCTAAAGGGGAGAGCCTAGAATGGACACATTGGAAGCTTTGATTACATGAAGAATACAGAGAAAAGAGAGACTGGAAAACTTTAAGAGTCATGAATTAGAGAATGAGGTTCTGAAATAAACAGAAAGCAAGGATAAATAAGGAAGAGAATACAAGAAATCCTTTCTTGGCAAAGGGCAACGAAAATGAAATGTTAAAAATTAAGAAGAAGAGAGAATCTAATTGACTAACTGAGAAGAAAAATGAGGTGAAGAATTATAAAACTAGATAAAAGTAGGAAAGAAGAACAAACAAAACCTAAATGACAAAGGGGTAATAAACAAGAGTATGGGATCAGAGATGAAGGGAAGAGAACTAGTGGGAACACGTCCACCTTAAAAAAGAATAAAGCAAACTGAAGGATTATAGTACTGTGCTTTCCACAGAAGAGGGGAAAAAAGTACAACTTGAAAAAAAACCCTCAGTATTACAGACAAATAGAGGAAAATGTAAACCTAAATCTCATAAAACTAAATATGAATGTATTAAATAATCCAATAAAATGAGTGATAGACTGAATACAAAAAAAAACCCCTACAATCTGTTACTAAAAAACACATACACCCCCCAAAAATACACAAAATAAAGCTGAGATAATAGGGGGGAAATGACCATGCATCAAGTGAATGCGAAAAAAAAAAAAGCAGGATTGGCAATCATGCTATCCAACAAAGCAAAAACAACCATTTAAAAATTAGAAAGAGATGCACTATTATACGGAAACGAACCATAGACCAAAAAAACCCAGTATTAGTAATAAATTTAAACATTACAAATACCTTAGCATTTGAATTCATAAAGGAAAAATTACATGAACTATGAGAAGACGTAAAGAGCAACACAATAATGATAGGTGATTTTAGTATCACTCTATCAGTTTGGGATAGATCTAACAGAAAGATAAATAAAAGGGACAATATGGAATGAACAACTTACTGGAGAAAGTAAAAAGATTTGTCGTATTTTCTAAATAGAACAGAAAAAATATATACCTATTTCTTAGTATTACATGGAACTTTTGCAAAATTGACTACATACCAAAGCAGAATGATATTGCAAACAAGTATAAAAAGTCAGAAACAGTTAATGATCTTTCACAGATCAGACCCAACTGTAGAGTTGACAATAAAACCCTAAATAATGAGTGGGTCAAAAAACAAATCATAGAAACAATTAATAATTATGTAAAATTGTGTAATAATTTTGTAATTA